ATGGCAATAGTCTGTCCCTACAAGGAGACCGAAGTCGTTGAGGTGATCAGACTTAATATTATCTGCCAATTTTATTCCTCTATTTCTCAGGAATTTGGCTGTTGCTCTCAGACCTTGAACTTGTAGGTCTACTGGTATCTTGTCCACCACAATGGCTTGTACTCGACAGACGTACCTGCCTAAACGTACTGATGGTTGTACCACCTGGTAGACTTGAGGTCCTGCATCTGTTACAAACCCTGAGATGTTGAATGACGTCTGGGCTACAGGCCTTAATTGTAATTCATCTGCCAGCTTTTTAGTGATATATGTTCTCTGGGATCCTTGGTCAAACAACCCACGGGTATGGACCTTGGCCCTCTTATTCAGGATGGTAATTTGGGCAGTAGGCAAAGTCGTATTACCTTTAGACTTTGCCGTATGGACACTCTTTGTTTGTTGCACCTTGCAGTACTGTACTGTGGTGGGAATGCTATCTTCCACCTTGGGTCTTGAATACGTTAATTTCGTATATTTGCACAGTGCTGCATGGTGCCTACCTCTTCTACACCTGTTGCAGGTGTTGAATTGGGTATCACAATAGTCTATGTTGTGTGACTTGAGACACCTTGCACATCTCCCTAATTCCTGGAGTCGCTCAATACGAGTGTCTCTGGTTGGATAATTAGCACAACGGTATGTTGAATGTTTCTTTTTGCAGAACATACATGTCCCCCAGCCTACTGCACGTTTGGAAGTTACCGGTTTGGGTGAACTAGTAACAGTAGGCTTGGAGGATGCTGCTGCATTGTCAGATTTTCTGCAACTTGATGTTTGAGTAATTGGTTGATGTTTATTTGGGGTGGTTGTTTTACCCTTTAATTGACTATTATTTTCTATTTCTGAAGGCTTGCAAGAGGCTTTAACTTCCTCATTTGCTCGTCGTTTGTTTATGATGGAATGTAAACCTTCAGTGATGTCCTGTACTGTCAGGATGGTGTTATGTTGATGTGCATATAATTCATCTAGTATATCGCTGGACAATTTTCGTTGAAGGACTACTTTGGTCATCCATTCACTAGTAGTTATATCAACCTTAAGTCTGAATGTTCTTAGTAGTGACTCAAACTCCATGCTGAAGGATTGTAATGAGTCAGCAGTCTGATCAGGTTGAGGTAAATCCAGCAATTGTAGTACTAGATGTATGACAGTTTTCTCATTGCCAGCATTATTCCTAGGAGGCTGGACTGGGAAATTAGTGCTGTCGCTATTTTCATTTACATTTTCTACTACTGGTTCAGCTTCACCTCTAGTTTGGAGGCATGTTAACTTAGTAGCTTCAGGTATTGGGTTTTCAGAAACCACAGAGACTGTGGATAAATTGTCTGAAAACTGCTTAATTTCTGGTGGTATATTATTGGGTGAAGCTGTAGTGGGTGAAGCTTTACTGGGTGAAGCTTTATCCTTGTTGATTAAAGGATCTAATCTGGCTTTACATTTATTCTCAAAAAGATCCAGATCATCCATAACATTATCTACTTTATTTGATGTACTTGCTATTTGTTCTGATTCAATTATCCTGTGTAAATGTTCCAACCTGCCTTGAGTTTCTTCTTCATATTGTGCTAGGTCAGACAGGAATGGTTCCACATCTTCAACTACTACATCATCGTGGACTTGATTTTGGTAAGATTTCCTATTTGCTTTCAATATATGCAATTGGGTTTGAATCTGTAACAGTGGTATTTTCAACCGATGATAATTAATTACAGGCTCATATAACAACTGTTCATATTGGTTGAGATCTCTTGTTAGTTGGCGTTTGCTTGATATTAAAGCACGCTTTGCTTTCTGTGGATTAGTCATGGTGACTTGTTAATTGGGCACCACTGGCTCATAAATTGTGAGCAAGTACTAATGGTAGCCTAGGGTAAATTCTGCACTCACTAGGCAATAATCCTACCTCTACTAGAGGTTAGCACTTAAAATTAATACACATTATATATATACAATCATACACACTAATGATTTGAGTGATAAACCAGTGTCACTGGAAGTACCTTTAGGTTAGCTCTTCTATATCACCCTAGGATGGTAGAGACACTAATTAATCACTCAAAGGTGTAATGATCATAAGTAATTTATTATATATACAACTCAACTCGAGTTGATAAAAATTACACCCAAAATAGGGTCTGGACCATTCATTAATGGTGTTAGGTTGTTCAATATAGTACAACTGACTATTGTAATAATGGGACTAGGATGAACAATAATAGTTCAACTAGTCATATCCTACCCTGTTGTGGGTTGGCAATTAGTAAATATTATACTGTGATCACTAGTGCAATATATATTAAATAATTCTCTATTTTGGAGAAATAATATACACAATTATTGATAATAGCCTCTTAATTAGCCTCTATGAAACTTCTAATATTATCTAGAAGTATTAAATGTTATTAGTGACCTCGCGAAATAAAGTCCACAAAATTCGTGGATAATCTCTCGCGAAATGTAACACCACGAAATCCGTGAACAATCTCGCGAAGACACAGTCACTAATTTGGCTGGATTCTATATTAGCGCTGTCATTTCACGAAATAACACGCCACCAAATTTCTGTGGGTGTGCATGAAACCGCTGACTAAGGCTGATCTGGGCTGAGGGAGGCTCCTGAGCTCCCACGAGGCAACGCCGCTGTCTTGACTGGCTTTGTTTAAATAACACTGCACTAGTATATTTAATGAATCCACTGGTTTGGTTCACTGGTTCATCCGGTACTAAGATGACCAAATGTGGGTTCAAAGGATCAAATAATCCGTCATCCGGTTCGAAGATGACCAAATAATGTGGGTTCATAGGACCGAATATTCCGGTTCCGAAGGTCCAAATAATTCGGTTTCGAAGGACCAGATAATGTGGGAACCGACCTGTGAGATTTATATTTATTTAATTTATATGAATTTATATTTACGTTAATTTATATACTTCGATAGCAATTTGTATAATGATAAGTGGACTGTATTTCTGCAATAATCTCTTAATCTCACAAATCGATCCTCTACACATTAGGGGGGGTTATTATATTAATATATATGCAGCCAATCAAACTACAGTAATAGCTACATACATTGATGAGGTTCCTTATCTTATAGTACAGCAGGTTAGTCCACCAGGTATAACTAGGGTGTAGACACCAAATTATCCTCTTTGAGGTAGCTTCCATCACCCAGTAACTGGTGCACATAATCTTGCATCCTCGTCTTGACCTGTCAAAAGTGCGCTAGCTGTGAAGCCAGAAACCTATATATGACAAGTATTTCAGAGAAAACTGTATACAGTACATGGAACATGAAAGACCTGGCTTAATTACCTTTAGTATGAGGCGATTTCGCGTTCTAACCGGCTAACCCTATATCCTGACATTAATGGCCATAAATGAATGATAAACGGGTTTCGGATAGACACTTAACTTGTATTTGTAGACAGCGTGTTGACAATGGTACACCTTTGGGTTCCATAACACTACGTCCAAGTAAATTTAACAGGAGCCGAATTTGCTCCCGTGTGAGCCTCTGGTCTCGTATAAACAATGGCTGCCCTCCTTCCTCCACTCTGACGCCTGGCTTACATTGTCCAGATTTCAGAACGTGATAGAAGGGTCACATTTACTCTACTTTAATATTGATAATTAAGTTAATTTATATAAGATGTTTTTATGATGGTAAAGTCCAAAGACTAATGTATTTAAGAACAATTCCCAGCAGAATAGCTGGTGAATTATAATAGTATGTGGTGATGATATCCCGTTTTCTATAGACGGTAATTCCACTACAAGTTACGTTTTCTATGGGTAACTTGTTTATACAACACAGCTCTTATCTGTCTGTATGATATATTAAATGGTGTCGGATTTTCCGACACCTCAAGATGTTTGTGACAGAGGTGGCGCAGGTGTGTAGACAGTGACGGGGGTCCAGGTGTGTGGACAGTGGTGGGGGGTCCAGGTGTGTGGACAGTGGTGGGGGGACAGAAGAGCTTCACCTTCTCCTGGTCTATATAATAACGTGCTGGACGGGGTATAACGCTAATTCATCATCATCCTTCGTCAGGTGTGGGTCTCTCCTGTCTTGACAGGTGTTTATGCTGCCTCAGCAGGTGTGTTTAGCCAGATGTCTCTGAGCCTACGTTGGCGTTGCCTTATAAACACCGTTCTCGCTACATTGTGTACTGGGAACTTTCTCATGCTTGACCACACACTAGGAGGTGAAGGGACGACGACGACGTTTCGGTCCGTCCTGGACCATTCTCAAGTCGATTTTCTCATGCTCTTTTCCACCATCTTGCATGATATGCAAGCCAGTTAGTTCCCCATACATCAGAACTTCACGTAGATCTATTTGAATATTGGCTGGGGGTTTTTCCGATGTTCCAGCAGTTTACTTCCCATGTTAGTGGTTTGCGTAAAGGTCTCTGTATGCCCAGTCTATCTTACTACGGTTGAGCCCACCTACTTTTCTTCACTTAAGTGGGCTTGTTAGGGTGATGACAATCGGGTTGTTGGTCTCGCCTCTCAACCCGCAGTCATTTGGTGTACTAGATTCAGGACTTGTTGGGTCCCTGTCATATCTTAGTGTATCTCATTTTCTTCACTCACTAACATTAACCTATTTTAATTCCAGTGTCTCTGTAGCTCATCTGGGTAGTTAGGTTCTTTCTATGCCTTCTTGTTCCTGTACCACTCATTCCGATGGCCTGTTTTTGTTGGCTTTGTCTATTTCTTTGATAATTTTGTTGTGTATTTATGTGTGGGTGAACGAGAGGGAGAGATTATTTCAGAAAACTAAGTGAAAAGAAAAATGTAGATTAAGTTAATGATCTAGGGGGATAGAGACACAGAATAAGGCTCATTGTTCTAAGCTTAACATAGAAAGTAAACAAATCAGCGAATCAGATGAGTTTCACTCACACACAGAAGCCTATCTTGTACTAAAATTGTGTTTGTTCCTCCTGCCCAGGCGACACAACCTACCACACTACCGCAGTCACCACTATCACCAGCACCACCACCACCATGAAGGCCCCCAGAGCCATCCTCCTCCTGCTGGGTCTGGTGCTGACCGCCGGGGGCGCCCCTATCCCCCAGGGAGATCAGCCTCAGGACGGTCGACTCATCCTGGGCCCGCCCGTCATCATCAACGTCAGCAACCTTCCTAGCCTCATCCCCACCAAGCCTACTATCCAGTTCTGCCCAACAACCATCATATGCTTCGTTACTACTACTACTACTACTGCTAGACCAGCAGGGAAGTAAGGGCTAATAGCCCACCATAGACAGGAAACTAACTTCGTTTTAATCTTCTCTTGGGCCTCTGTTGAGTCACAGGACATAATGAAGCAAAGGTGTCAGGTACCTCTGCTTCGCTATGTCCTGTTTTGCCGTTGAGTCAATCCCCGTTGTTTTATTTCCCGTTTCTTCAGTCAACAATACTTCACGCTCATGCGGTGAGTTGCGTAAGACAGCTACGAATCCCTGTTGCTCCTGTTGTCACGAAATGTCCCGCCATTCAAGCGCCTGTTAATTCACAGTTGACACTCAACTGTGTGACCTGACTCACGCATGAGTCAGAAGCACTTGGTATACAATGTACTCACCTCTTACAATAAATATACTTTAAAAAACAATGCACTATTGTATTAATTAATTTATTACATCTATGTCTATAATATAATACAATATAAACCAGTATAATGTAATATAATCTGAGTACTTATTTCACAAAATTCGTCTCGAGGTTTCACTAGTTCATTGACGTAACAACGAAGCATTTCGTAGTTCCCTCGTTACCAACATGGGGGGGGGGGAAGGTCACACCGAAAAAAGTAAGATTAATAATTCTAACACGATTTTTTTCTATATTTCTTATGTTTTTCTTCACTGTCGGTGGTAATGAGAATGTCAATTATCATATCAGAGGAGAATTGATATTTTCATTATTACCGACAGGGAAGAAAAACATAAGAAATATTGAAATTTTTTTGTTAGAATTATTAATCTTACTTTTTCGGTCATATTCAGCAACATATGTTTACAAGAAAGACTGCTACCAATATATATATATATATATATATATATATATATATATATATATATATATATATATATATATATATATATATATATATATATGTATATGACAATGTCAGACCACGGAGGAAAAAAGAAACAGGAAATTTCCTTAAGTACTTTCGTATATTAAATACATCTTCAGAAGGTCCTTCTGTGGACCTTCTGAAGATGTATTTAATATACGAAAGTACTTAAGGAAATTTCCTGTTTCATTTTTCCTCCGTGGTCTGACATTGTCACATTCTTAATCACGTGTTTATTTTCGTGATATACACACATATATATATATATATATATATAAATATATATATATATATATATATATATATATATATATATATATATATATATATGTATTTATATATAGGAAGCTATACATTATACTGCAAGACCTTCAGGTTTTTCTCCTCTGACATTTATTTTTTCATACTGTATTTTATACATCACTGTCATGTCCCCGCTGTTCCTTCTCTCCACTTGTGACGTGAAGTTCATCTCCTTCAGCATGTTATGTATCTTTTCTAATTTTGTGCGTTTTCAGGCGGGGTTTCCACCAGAGCTGCATACTTATTGGTGACTCTTATGTAGGTTGTACGCAGCAATCAGATGGGTCATCTTATGTTTGTTGATGAGTGTTTCGTTTGTTGATATGAGGTCATCGGGGTTGAAGGTCAAGAGAGGTCAATGTAAACAAACAGGAGGGAGGAAAGATATATATTCTGGTAACTGTGTAGAGTAATCCTGGTGGCCCTGGCAACAGTGAGTCTAGCGGGAACACAGGTGCGACTTTTGACAATCTGTCAGCTTCCTGTCCCCGTGGAGGTCACTAGAGATGCTGGTCCTCAGGTAAATTCAGGCAACTGTGAAGCATCCTCGATATAACATACAGTATACTTAAATATACTCGCTGCTCATTGACTGAGCAGCGAGTGAGTTTATTAACCCGCGACTGTAGTAGATGTAGGTTTTGCAGTAGTGGTAGTAGTAGTAGTAGTTGTAGGTCTTGCAGTAGTAGTTGTGGTGGTTGTGGTAGTAGAAAGGGGACATCTAGGCAATGGGAAACAGATATTGAAGGCCGCCGTGGGTGGCGACCCGGCAGGGGCATCCCTGTTGATGAAGATAGGGACGAAGACGCCGTAGATGGAGCGAGCGCCGTGTGGGGCGTGCCCTCGGAGGACCGGCACGGCGGTCACCGTGCCCACCAGACACAGCAGGAGCACCACGCCGCGGGTCTTCATGGTCCTGGAGGTCGTGGTGCTGCTGGAGGTCGTGGTGGCCGGGGTTCTTGAGTCGCCTGAAGGAGGAAGAAGCAATAACGATCTTAGTTTAAGAATATGTGTATGCGAAACTACATGTGCATATAGGAAATGAGTTCCAGCTTCTGTCTTAAAAGTTGATAAAATATTAAAAGTAAAAATATTTACTCAAAGCGGAGGAAAGTTGATCGTCTGATCAAGTCACTTCACCTCACACATGATCTTCAGACAATGTCCTCCCAGTGGAAAGTTGCATCGAATCTTCCCTTCTACTTGGTGGCCTGCGCTCTCAGTGATAGCAAGCGACTCACTCCGTCCTCAAGAACAACCATGATGTACCCCCCTCCCCCATCCTGTCCAACCACTTGGGCTGGACAGTAGAGCGACGGTCTCGCTTCATGCAGGTCGGCGTTCAATCCCCGACCGTCAAAGTGATTAGGCACCATTCCTTTCTCTCGCCCCATCCTAAATCCTGACCCCTTCCAAGTGCTATATAGTCACAGTGCGCTTTCTCCTGGCAGTTCCTTTTCCTTCCCTTCTCACAGTCACATTGTCTGTCATTAGTCCAAGGAAGGAAAGCTTTGGATGCCCCATTGATTCATATCATTGACGCCCACTGTATTCTTTCCCTAACAGATATTATAAAATATATTTAAACACCAGATATGCACCTGTTTGGATAACAGACGTACACCTGGTTGGATAACACATACATTTATGGACGCAGCAGAGACTGTATACCCCTAGTATACCGAGTACACGTAGTATACTGTATACACCTAGTGACTGAGTGAGCCATTCTTGTGAGACAGTAAGTACACCAGGCGAGACAGTACATACACCCTTTGAGACAGCAAATTCACAAAATGATACAATACCTCGTGAGACAGGAGATACACACCTGGATAGCCTTGCAGAGACACACCTGTAGAGACAGTAGAGGCAGTCACACCTGGACAGACAGCAGACACACATGTGATGAGTGAAAACAGTCTCCCTAGTGCTATATATCGCCCAAGTTTCTTATTTTACAAATCAAGAGTTTGTCAACAACTCATCCCAATCCTTCACTTCCTCTCACACACCTCATAATCCTGGACAACTCCCGTCGCATCAATATTGATAATAAATCACTAATTATCTTTCTTGAAGAGTATAACAAAGCTTAGTGTATAATCTTGGTATATTCAGGTTGTGCTGAATGCTTCGAATGTGTGGAGACTCCAAGCGGAAGCCCGAGTCAGTTGAAGGAGTTGAGAGACGAGAGGCGGGAAAGTGGGTGGGGATTATGTTGATGAAACAGTTGTCATTCTTCTCTTATGGGTAGCACCCGGAACCTGAACCACTGCTTCTCCAATTACACAATTTAGAAGTCGAATAACAAGAGTTTATATCCCTCAGTGACAAAATTCCTAACGTTTATAAACTAAAATGTTAGGTTTCACCTCCCACAATATAATTCCGAACTCCAACTGCGGAATTTTTAGCTCCAATTATCTTATACCTCGGGGACTATTATGCCATTATAGGCAATATTTAAGAAAGATTCCAGGATGAGAATGAACAATCTCACTGGTGATCCTGGTGTCACGAATATATAAATGTAAATATGATTATTATATGTTTGTGCGGTGAGGCGCTCGCTGGCCGACCGTAGGCTAGCCATTATCCCTCCGCCCACCCAAGTAGCACCTCCCTATATTTACCAATTTCTTGTAACTGGGAGGTTATTTGGAAACATTTTATTAACAGAATGTGGACTCATTGTACTTATCTACAAGAAGAATATGATTACAGTGACTCTGGCGAGAGTTTAGAGAGGAGAGGGGTAGGGGAGGGAAGTGATATTATGGGGCGGGTGTCGACGGACAGACGGAACACAGACATGGCGGGAAGGTGTCGTGCGTCGGTCTCTTGCGTCTTAAGACGCTTTTAGCCGTCTAAATGTTCCAGCTAAGCCGCTACTTGCACTCCATATTGTGTGCAAGATAAAGGTGAGCTATTTTTGAGTAACATTCAGCACTAAATATAGAGACAGTCCAGATTTCATTCCATGTTTACTCAGTCCAGATTTCATTCCATGTTTACTCAGTCCAGATTTCATTCCATATTTACTCAGTCCAGATTTCATTCCATGTTTACTCCAGATTTCATTTCATGTTTACTCAGTCCAGATTTCGTTCCATATTTACTCAGTCCAGATTTCATTCCATATTTACTCAGTCCAAATTTCATTCCATGTTTCTCAGTCCAGATTTCATTCCATATTTACTCAGTCCAGATTTCATTCCATGTTTACTCCAGATTTCATTTCGTGTTTACTCAGTCCAGATTTCGTTCCATATTTACTCAGTCCAGATTTCATTTCATGTTTACTCAGTCCAGATTTCATTCCATGTTTACTCAGTCCAGATTTCATTCCATGTTTACTCAGTCCAGATTTCATTCCATGTTTACTCAGTCCAGATTTCATTCCATATTTCCTCACTCCAGATTTCGTTCCATGTTTACTGTGTGCAAAATACCATATTTTTTTTCTGAGGATATTCATCTATCTATACATTCTTATAAAACCACAAGAACGATATAGCGCTTCGGGCAGATCCTTAATTTTAATTTTCTCAGGAATAGGACCCGCCAAATCGTTTAACAACCAGGTAGCCATTCACTGCTGGGTGAACAGAGGCTATAATAGTTTAAGGATTAGTACCCAGTCAATCCTCCCCGGCCAGGATACGAACCCAGACCCAGGATACAATGGTGTGTATCTTAAGAGTATTCAATGCATCGAGGATGATTAATTTACATAGTGATCCGAGGAGAAATAATGCTATAGTTTCCTGATTATTTATATGTTATATATTAACATATACTAATTAAATACGTTTGGTTCACTGTACTGTTATGTTCGTTCTTGAATCGAGAATTTCGGGTTCGAATCCCGGCCGGGACTGGAATGGTTGAGCGCGTTTCCAATCACCTCATGCCTCTGTTCACCTAGTTGTACATAGGTATCCAGGAGTTAATAACTAGTCAGCTGTAATTGTGGGGTTGCATCCTGGGGAGGGTCATGAATTATTATTATATAAGGTGAGGTTTATTATAATAAATTATTATAATTATTAATTATAATATAATTAATATTTCAATAATATTATATTATAATTATAATATTGATAAGATTCAATATTCATATATTTTTCTCAATTTCCATGTTCTTGCTCCTTATCTGAAGTCAGAGTAGAGTGTGGGAGCTCATTCATACTAATTGATGTAAATACTTACATACATTTTTTTTCCGTAAGTATAGTTTAATTATTTACACGAATCTACGTGTTTCAATAAAACTTTCCAAATTGCTCTTAGACATTTAACAACAGTCTATCCAATCAATTCCTAGGAGTACACCTACGTGAAAGTACCCACATGGCAGAGGTCCTAGCTGAAGTCCTAGCAGAAGTCCCAGCACAAATCCTAGCCTAACTCAAGGTGAGTGCCTCTGTTTTGATTTTTTTGTATAACTCCTGATTTGTGTATAACTCCAGGATTTATAGTTATGTCTTGAGTCTGAAGTTTGGAAACTACGATACTACACACATGGTTAGTTAGGATGGTTATAATTTAATTCTATGTTTAAACGTTAATTAGACATCAGTAGAAGTTATGGTGTTAAGGAAGTAAATACACCAACTATGTTTTAAGAGGGGGGGGGGAATAGCCTAGGCTGCTCTATTCTTTTGAGATGTGTTTTATTATTTCAATAAACTTGAATTTAAATGCCGTGTTTTAGGATAAAGATTAAGGGATATTTGTATATGCTATGTATTAGCCTAAATATACAGCATATGTGTTTTATGTATGCATTAAGGGAGACGTGTATGGTTTTTTGTGGTACATGTTAAGAAGTACATGTGTGTGTTTTATGATATAAAGGAAGTTACATGGGTCACATTTATGTGAAGAGTAACAGATATACATATGTATTCTTGATGATAAACATTAAGAGCTATTCATATGCATCCTGAATGATAAGCAGTAAGGGATAAACAGACATGCTGTATAATAACAGTCAAGGATAAACATCAACATCCCATATAATAAAGAGTTAAGGGATATACATAAACATTAACCTCTATATGTCAACGACAAATATTTATGCCATACCATTATAATGGCATAAATATTCCATATTTGTACCATTAAATATGGAATGAGATCTGATAAGCGTGTTACACTGAGAGACATAGATGACAATGTTTTGTCAAATTTATGTTATTCAATGCTGGAGTTTCCCTGTTATTATTTAAAGGTTTTCGTTTAGAGTGAAGCGGACTCCAGCAACGTATATACAAATATATGTATATATATGTATATATATATATATATATATATATATATATATATATATATATATATATATATATATATATATATATATACATATATAATATATATACATATATATATATATATATATATATATATTATATATATATATATATATATATATATATATATATATATATATATATATATATATATATATGTCGTACCTAGTAGCCAGAACTCACTTCTCAGCCTACTATTCAAGGCCCGATTTGCCTAATAAGCCAAGTTTTCCTGAATTAATATATTTACTATAATTTTTTTCTTATGAAATGATAAAGCAACCCTTTTCTCTATGTATGAGGTCAATTTTTTTTATTGGAGTTAAAATTAACGTAGATATATGACCGAACCTAACCAACCCTACCTAACCTAACCTAACCTATATTTATAGGTAAGGTTAGGTTAGGTAGCCAAAAAAAGCTAGGTTAGGTTAGGTTAGGTAGGTTAGGTAGACGAAAAAACATTAATTCATGAAAACTTGGCTTATTAGGCAAATCGGGCCTTGAATAGTAGGCTGAGAAGTGCGTTCTGGCTATTAGGTACGACATATATATATATATATATATATATATATATATATATATATATATATATATATATATATATATATATATATATATATATATATAATAGGAAGGGAGTACCACCTCTAGCTGGAAGAAGGGGGACCCATAGCCTCGGAGGAAACCACGCATAACGCATTAGAGGGAATGTTTAGATCCCCTCCAATATATATATATATATATATATATATATGTCGTACCTAGTAGCCAGAACTCACTTCTCAGCCTACTATTCAAGCCCCGATTTGCCTAATAAGCCAAGTTTTCCTGAATTAATATATTTACTATAATTTTTTTCTTATGAAATGATAAAGCAACCCTTTTCTCTATGTATGAGGTCAATTTTTTTTTATTGGAGTTAAAATTAACGTAGATATATGACCGAACCTAACCAACCCTACCTAACCTAACCTAACCTATATTTATTGGTAAGGTTAGGTTAGGTAGCCAAAAAAAGCTAGGTTAGGTTAGGTTAGGTAGGTTAGGTAGACGAAAAAACATTAATTCATGAAAACTTGGCTTATTAGGCAAATCGGGCCTTGAATAGTAGGCTGAGAAGTGCGTTCTGGCTATTAGGTACGAGATATATATATATATATATATATATATATATATATATATATATATATGTCGTACCTAGTAGCCAGAACTCACTTTTTGGCCTACTATTCAAGGCCCGATTTGCCTAATAAGCCAAGTTTTCCTGAATTATTATATTTTTTCTAATTTTTTTCTTATGAAATGATACAGCTACCCATTTCATTATGTATGAGGTCAATTTTTTTTTATTGGAGTTAAAATTAACGTAGATATATGACCGAACCTAACCAACCCTACCTAACCTAACCTAACCTATCTTTATAGGTTAGGTTAGGTTAGGTAGCGGAAAAAGTTAGGTTAGGTTAGGTTAGGTAGGTTAGGTTGCCGAAAAACAATTAAATCATGAAAACTTGGCTTATTAGGCAAATCGGGCCTTGAATAGTAGGCCAAAAAGTGAGTTCTGGCTACTAGGTACGACATATATATATATATATATATATATATATATATAATTGGAGGGGATCTAAACATTCCCTCTAATGCGTTATGCGTGGTTTCCTCCGAGGCTATGGGTCCCCCTTCTTCCAGCTAGAGGTGGTACTCCCTTCCTATTATATATATATATATATATATATATATATATATATATATATATATATATATATATATATATATATATATATATATATATATATATATATATATATATATATATATATGTATATATATATATATATATATATTATATATGTTTATATATATATGTATATATATTATATATGTTTTTATATATATATATATATATATATATATATATATATATATATATATATATATATATATATATATATATATATATATATAATTATATCGAGGAAAGTCACGATAAATGAAATAAAAAAAGAAAGTTTCTTGACACTGGAGTAAAGATGAGAAAATGATGAGGCTTTCGTGATTTACTGGTGAAATGAAACCATACAAATAATTGTTACGAAAACAAGAACTTTATTGCAAAATCTTGCATAAGTGTTGTACAAAAATACATTAGTTGCAGTATAAAAAATTATAGCTAGATGAAACAACGGGGACTGACTGGGTATACGGTGAAACAACGGGGACTGACTGGGTATACGGTGAAACAACGGGGACTGACTGGGTATACGGTGAAACAACGGGGACTAACTGGGTATACGGTGAAACAACGGGGACTGACTGGGTATACGGTGAAACAACGGGGACTGACTGGGTATACGGTGAAACAACGGGGACTGACTGGGTATACGGTGAAACAACGGGGACTGACTGGGTATACGGTGAAACAATTGAGACTAAATGGCGAACGAGGAGACAATCAAACAATGAACTAACTTATTGACACACAGGGTGCTGGCTCATTCGAGTGCCGGTGGCGACTGATCCTCATTTTCCAGGGCCCACTACTGGTGGCCCAGGGGGGCGGCGTGTTGTGGTGGTTGTTGTTGTGGTTGTTGAGGTGGTTAATTTATCGCAAATAAGTGGTGGACAAATGAGTCCGAGGATCCCGAGCGGGTTGAGTGTAGTGGTGGGGACGGTGGGGGAGCCTATGAGAATTGGAACGGGTATTAAGAAGCGGCCATCGCGCGTTGCGGCGCCCTGCTGGGGGACTCCGGCGGCGGTGACCACCAGGCACAGGAAGAGGACGGCGAAGGTCTTCATGGTGACGCTAGGGGCGTAGTGGTGCTGGAGGTCGTGGTGGTGCTCGTGCTCGTGATGGCACTGGTGGTGATTACAAAATTCGGGTAGCCTGTGAAGGAGAGAGATAAAAGCCTAACTTAGTGAATGATAACTTGTGTACTCATTAAACTGTGTTTACAGATAGAGATTCAGCTCCTGGTCTCATTTACATAGGCGCCATTCATTATCTAGTTGATCACGCAGCGACCAGCGTACTCGTCCTTACTCCAAGTCAGAGAGCCAGGGTTGAGATCATGCAAGACGATGCAAAAAATAAACAAATTATTTAAGACTGGAAACCAAACTAACAGAGGTTGAAATAAAGGTAAAATATGCAGACGATGAATCACAATAACGTGACAGAAGATATCAAAGTCCACAATCGACTTAATAATGGTCCAGGACGGACCGAAACGTCGTCGTCTGTTCATCTTCTGGTGTGTGGTCCAGTGTGTGGTTTGGTCATCAAAGCCCTTGGTGATATTTAGCGCCCTCTGATTATTTTGCGTCTTTGATGGTGCTACATAGCCTTCCCGGTTTGGTGCCTTCTTTTGATAATTACTTACTTACTTACTTGGTCATCAAAGCCAAAATATGGTGTTGCGGCTGCATGTTGCTGACTACCTCATCACGCCAACCATGGTGACCACAACCCTGGAAACACAAACCGAAACCGTCTCCATTTTCCGCTTGTTACAACTTGTAATAAAGTTGTTACATCTTGGCTTAACGTGTTTATGACGTATTAGAACGTTGTTACAACTTGCTATATTGGTTGTTATAACTGGTTAGGTGTTAAAACTTGTTCGAACGTTGTACCAACGTCGTAGTTTCAGTGTGTGTTTGGCGGGAATCGACCATTAACGTTATATACATTGTTGCAATGGTAAAACATCCGTGTTTGTTGTGTTGTGTGTTTGCTTGAAGGATAAAGACATAAAAGAATTTGTACACTCAAATCAAAGGAGCATTACAACCAGCCCACCCAACCACTCTTGACTGGTTGGTGCAGCAACCTCATTTATTGCAAGTCTACGTTCGATCCCCGACAGTCCATGTAATTGGCCAACATTCCTTCCCATCGTTCTACCCCAGATCCTTGCCCTATTATCCCCTCCAAGTGCGACATAGTCGAACTGCCCTAATTGCATTCTCCTGATTGCAGGCGATGAGTCACAATAACGTGGCTGAAGAATGTTTACCAGACCACACACAAGAAGGTGAAGGGACGACGACGTTTCGGTCCGTCCTGGACCATTCTCAAGTCGATTGTGTCAAGTCATTCTCACAATCGACTTGAGAATGGTCCAGGACGGACCGAAACGTTGTCGTCCCTTCACCTTCTAGTGTGTGGTCTGGTTAACATTCTCCTGATTATTTCATCAGTGACACAACGAGTCCGTAGGGCTTATAATACATGGATCCACTGTCCAGTAAACACCCTCAAAACCTTTGAAATCACAAGCACATTCACTGAGAAAACTGTCAACTTTATACGTGCAGACTCGGCACTGCCAGCACCGTGGCACTCATTGCCACCAGACTTTAAGATTGTGGCTCTTTCAAGGAATAAAGAATCGCTCTAACCCACATCCGATGAAATATCTATGTCCAATAAAGTCACGAGTGCTGTCGGGTATTAGGGTTCAAAGTCTGACGGCTTCCCAATACTTTTGTACAGTCAGTGGCTGAGTGGTTATAGTATTGGACATGCCAAGGGATATGGAGGCCTTGGCTGACCGGATTCGAATCCTTCAGGGCTTTAAGAGTTTTCTGATGCATGTTGTGTTGGGCACAATTCAATCACACACACATATGCTCTAATATATATATATATATATATATATATATATATATATATATATATATATATATATATATATATATATATATACACACACACACACATACATATACACACACACATACATATACACTGGCTGGCTGTCCCTGACAAATGGTAAACACATCAAGATATAAACTTCCGCCAAGTCGAACAGGAATGACACTGCAGTTAAAACTGCAAACAAGGCATGTAAACATCAATAACAATCTCTCTCTCTCTCTCTCTCTCTCTCTCTCTCTCTCTCTCTCTCTCTCTCTCTCTCTCTCTCCCCACTATGTGATACACAAGTGACGAAACACACCTTGACGAGACCTATGAAGCAGCTACTCACCTGAGGAACGAGCACACACTCACAGGCCGGGTAAGCTTCCAGAGTGGCTCTCATAGCGTCCAGTTATGTATATATAGACGCATACTGCCCCGGAGAAGGGCGGGCGGCGGCACCTCTGAGGTCTGGCACCCCACCACTTCACTCTCACCTTCTGCACCTGCGTCGCTCACCTATTACTTGTCCTTCACCTCGATTGACCACTGGTGACTAGTCTTTCTACACCTGCATAGATCACTGGTTACTAGTCTTTCTACACCTGGAGCGATCACTAATTACTCGATCTATGACAATGCTTGAATGTTACAATCCATCGATTTAGACATTGTTGATGTTAGAAGACCATATGTGAACGTGGAGCCAGGTAGCTACACTAGCTTATGGGAATTATGTGAGGTGAGCCGCTTGTTATTCTTCCTTCATCTGATGACCAAATAAGTAAGATAACACAGTATAACTTACTACATGTTTGCCAAACATTCAAGGACATTACCCAGGTACCGACGCCCTTAACTGGTTCCTTGGAGAAGGTAGATGCGTGAAAATTGTTGATAAAGTAAATTGTCGTTTTGGTGGTATTTTATTAATTTTTTTAAAATGCTTTGGCCTTAATTTATTATAAGAAATTTTATAGATACAGAGGAAAATTTTTGATGAGGCAAGATGTGTGAAAGGAGTTACGTGTTTCTTAGTAACAATTTAGTGAATGGCAGCGCGATATTGAACTGCTATTGATTCTGTTCATGTAGTGTAGTTGTGTGTGTGTGTGTGTGTGGTGACTGTTCTTGTAGTGTAGTTGTGTGTGTGTGTGGTGACTGTTCTTGTAGTGTAGTTGTGTGTGTGTGTGTGGTGACTGTTCTTGTAGTGTAGTTGTGTGTGTGTGTGTGGTGACTGTTCTTGTAGTGTAGTTGTGTGTGTGTGTGTGGTGACTGTTCTTGTAGTGTAGTTGTGTGTGTGTGTGTGTGACTGTTCTTGTAGTGTAGTTGTGTGTGTGTGTGGTGACTGTTCTTGTAGTGTAGTTGTGTGTGTGTGGTGACTGTTCTTGTAGTGTAGTTGTGTGGTGACTGTTCTTGTAGTGTAGTTGTGTGTGTGTGTGGTGACTGTTCTTGTAGTGTAGTTGTGTGTGTGTGTGTGTGTGTGGTGACTGTTCTTGTAGTGTAGTTGTGTGTGTGTGTGGTGACTGTTCTTGTAGTGTAGTTGTGTGTGTGTGTGTGGTGACTGTTCTTGTAGTGTAGTTGTGTGTGTGTGTGTGTGTGTTCTTGTAGTGTAGTGTTCTTGTGTGTGTGGTGACTGTTCTTGTAGTGTAGTGTGTGTGTGTGTGTGGTGACTGTTCTTGTAGTGTAGTTGTGTGTGTGTGTGGTGACTGTTCTTGTAGTGTAGTTGTGTGTGTGTGTGGTGACTGTTCTTGTAGTGTAGTTGTGTGTGTGTGTGTGGTGACTGTTCTTGTAGTGTAGTTGTGTGTGTGTGTGTGGTGACTGTTCTTGTAGTGTAGTTGTGTGTGGTGACTGTTCTTGTAGTGTAGTTGTGTGTGTAGTGACTGTTCTTGTAGTGTAGTTGTGTGTGTGTGTAGTGACTGTTCTTGTAGTGTAGTTGTGTGTGTGTGTGTGGTGACTGTTCTTGTAGTGTAGTTGTGTGTGTGGTGACTGTTCTTGTAGTGTAGTTGTGTGTGTGTGTGTGTGTGGTGACTGTTCTTGTAGTGTAGTTGTGTGTGGTGACTGTTCTTGTAGTGTAGTTGTGTGTGGTGACTGTTCTTGTAGTGTAGTTGTGTGTGTGTAGTGACTGTTCTTGTAGTGTAGTTGTGTGTGTGTGTGTGGTGACTGTTCTTGTAGTGTAGTTGTGTGTGGTGTGTGTGTGTGGTGACTGTTCTTGTAGTGTAGTTGTGTGTGGTGACTGTTCTTGTAGTGTAGTTGTGTGTGGTGACTGTTCTTGTAGTGTAGTTGTGTGTGTGTAGTGACTGTTCTTGTAGTGTAGTTGTGTGTGTGTGTGTTGTGACTGTTCTTGTAGTGTAGTTGTGTGTGGTGACTGTTCTTGTAGTGTAGTTGTGTGTGTGTGGTGACTGTTCTTGTAGTGTAGTTGTGTGTGTGTGGTGACTGTTCTTGTAGTGTAGTTGTGTGTGTGTGTGTGGTGACTGTTCTTGTAGTGTAGTTGTGTGTGTGTGTGGTGACTGTTCTTGTAGTGTAGTTGTGTGTGTGTGTGTGTGTGTGGTGACTGTTCTTGTAGTGTAGTTGTGTGTGTGTGGTGACTGTTCTTGTAGTGTAATTGTGTGTGTAGTGACTGTTCTTGTAGTGTAGTAGTGTGTGTGTGTGGTGACTGTTCTTGTAGTGTAGTTGTGTGTGTGTGTGGTGACTGTTCTTGTAGTGTAGTTGTGTGTGTGTGTGTGGTGACTGTTCTTGTAGTGTAGTTGTGTGTGTGTGGTGACTGTTCTTGTAGTGTAGTTGTGTGTGTGTGGTGACTGTTCTTGTAGTGTAGTTGTGTGTGTGTGGTGACTGTTCTTGTAGTGTAGTTGTGTGTGGTGACTGTTCTTGTAGTGTAGTTGTGTGTGGTGACTGTTCTTGTACTGTTCTTGTGTGTGTAGTAGTGTAGTGTGTGTGGTGACTGTTCTTGTAGTGTAGTTGTGTGTGTGTGACTGTTCTTGTAGTGTAGTTGTGTGTGTGGTGACTGTTCTTGTAGTGTAGTTGTGTGTGGTGACTGTTCTTGTAGTGTAGTTGTGTGTGTGTGTGTGGTGACTGTTCTTGTAGTGTAGTTGTGTGTGTGTGTGTGGTGACTGTTCTTGTAGTGTAGTTGTGTGTGTGTGTGTGGTGACTGTTCTTGTAGTGTAGTTGTGTGTGTGTGTGTGACTGTTCTTGTAGTGTAGTTGTGTGTGTGTGTGGTGACTGTTCTTGTAGTGTAGTTGTGTGTGGTGGTGACTGTTCTTGTAGTGTAGTTGTGTGTGTGTGTGGTGACTGTTCTTGTAGTGTAGTTGTGTGTGTGTGTGTGGTGACTGTTCTTGTAGTGTAGTTGTGTGTGTGTGTGGTGACTGTTCTTGTAGTGTAGTTGTGTGTGTGTGTGTGTAGTGTACTGTTCTTGTAGTGTAGTTGTGTGTGTGTGTGTGTGGTGACTGTTCTTGTAGTGTAGTTGTGTGTGTGTTCTTGTAGTGTAGTTGTGTGGTGTTCTGGTGACTGTAGTGTAGTTGTGTGTGTGTGTGTGGTGACTGTTCTTGTAGTGTAGTTGTGTGTGTGTGTGGTGACTGTTCTTGTAGTGTAGTTGTGTGTGTGTGTGTGTGGTGACTGTTCTTGTAGTGTAGTTGTGTGTGTGGTGACTGTTCTTGTAGTGTAGTTGTGTGTGTGTGTGGTGACTGTTCTTGTAGTGTAGTTGTGTGTGTGTGTGTGTGTGACTGTTCTTGTAGTGTAGTTGTGTGTGTGTGTGTGTGACTGTTCTTGTAGTGTAGTTGTGTGTGTGTGTGGTGACTGTTCTTGTAGTGTAGTTGTGTGTGTGTGTGTGTGTGACTGTTCTTGTAGTGTAGTTGTGTGTGTGTGTGGTGACTGTTCTTGTAGTGTAGTTGTGTGTGTGTGTGTGTGACTGTTCTTGTAGTGTAGTTGTGTGTGTGTGTGGTGACTGTTCTTGTAGTGTAGTTGTGTGTGTGTGTGTGGTGACTGTTCTTGTAGTGTAGTTGTGTGTGTGTGTGGTGACTGTTCTTGTAGTGTAGTTGTGTGTGTGTGTGTGGTGACTGTTCTTGTAGTGTAGTTGTGTGTGTGTGTGTGGTGACTGTTCTTGTAGTGTAGTTGTGTGTGTGTGTGGTGACTGTTCTTGTAGTGTAGTTGTGTGTGTGTGTGGGTGACTGTTCTTGTAGTGTAGTTGTGTGTGTGTGTGTGTGACTGTTCTTGTAGTGTAGTTGTGTGTGTGTGTGGTGACTGTTCTTGTAGTGTAGTTGTGTGTGTGTGTGGTGACTGTTCTTGTAGTGTAGTTGTGTGTGTGTGTGGTGACTGTTCTTGTAGTGTAGTTGTGTGTGTGTGTGTGGTGACTGTTCTTGTAGTGTAGTTGTGTGTGTGTGTGTGACTGTTCTTGTAGTGTAGTTGTGTGTGTGTGTGGTGACTGTTCTTGTAGTGTAGTTGTGTGTGTGTGTGGTGACTGTTCTTGTAGTGTAGTTGTGTGTGTGTGGTGACTGTTCTTGTAGTGTAGTTGTGTGTGTGTGTGGTGACTGTTCTTGTAGTGTAGTTGTGTAGTTGTGTGTGTGTTCTGTAGTGTACTGTTCTTGTAGTGTAGTTGTAGTGTGTGTGTGTGTGGTGACTGTTCTTGTAGTGTAGTTGTGTGTGTGTGTGGTAGTGACTGTGTGTGGTGACTTTCTTAGTGTAGTTGTGTGTGTGTGTGGTGACTGTTCTTGTAGTGTAGTTGTGTGTGTGTGACTGTTCTTGTAGTGTAGTTGTGTGTGGTGACTGTTCTTGTAGTGTAGTTGTGTGTGTGTGTGGTGACTGTTCTTGTAGTGTAGTTGTGTGTGGTGACTGTTCTTGTAGTGTGTGTGTGGTGACTGTTCTTGTAGTGTAGTTGTGTGTGTGTGTGGTGACTGTTCTTGTAGTGTAGTTGTGTGTGGTGACTGTTCTTGTAGTGTAGTTGTGTGTGTGTGTGGTGACTGTTCTTGTAGTGTAGTTGTGTGTGTGTGTGGTGACTGTTCTTGTAGTGTAGTTGTGTGTGGTGACTGTTCTTGTAGTGTAGTTGTGTGTGTGTGTGGTGACTGTTCTTGTAGTGTAGTTGTGTGTGGTGACTGTTCTTGTAGTGTAGTTGTGTGTGTGTGTGTGTGGTGACTGTTCTTGTAGTGTAGTTGTGTGTGTGTGTGTGGTGTTCTTGTAGTGTGTGTGTGGTGACTGTTCTTGTAGTGTAGTTGTGTGTGGTGACTGTTCTTGTAGTGTAGTTGTGTGTGTGGTGACTGTTCTTGTAGTGTAGTTGTGTGTGTGTGTGGTGACTGTTCTGTGTAGTGTAGTGTGTGTGTGTGTGTGGTGACTGTTCTTGTAGTGTAGTTGTGTGTGTGTGTGTGGTGACTGTTCTTGTAGTGTAGTTGTGTGTGTGTGTGGTGACTGTTCTTGTAGTGTAGTTGTGTGTGTGTGTGTGTG